AGACGGGAAGTGAGTTGGGGAAAAGCTTTCATTATCTGCTCATATGAACATAGCGATGCATCACTCAGCGTCCCTGGGTGAAGCTCTGAGACTGAACCAAATGTAAAAACCTTAAAAGTCAGACTAAAACTCTACAGAGGCTCATGCACTACTTTGCTGTTCTATTTTGCTTCTCATGGCATGATTGAACTCAAAGTAGGTTACCTGAAACAGTTCAGCTTCAGTTAATTAGTAAAGCATTTCCAATTTGGCTCATTGAGGTTTTAGAAAGATTTATTTTAGGCAAGCTGGGCTTACATGGACTAACTATGGCGAGTTCTGCTGTGTTTACAACTTGAAGAGACTATGCTTGGCATGAAAGACAACTTGAAGAGACTATGCTTGGCATGAAAGACGCACAAGCCCGGTTGGTTCAGAAGAAATAATGATCACCTTAAGTCTTATGATAACAGATTGCATTCTTAGAAAAGATTCCTTCTTTCTCCACCCTACACAGAAGATCAGCCTCAAGGTATTTCATTGTTGACGTTCAGTTCTACTTCATAAATTGGCAGTGAAAGGGCAACAAAGCATACAATGATATTGTTTTCCTGAAACCCTACACTTACACGATCATAACCGCAATAAATGATCAGGAACATGATCTGCAGCATGTAACCAGATCTCTCCTGACCAGGTTAAAAAAGAAAAAACAATTTCGGTGACTGCATTTCTTTCACTGAGCATTTTCACAAACACACACTGTCATCTCTGGTGCTGGCAAAGGGCAACGACTGAAGCGATGAGATGTCAAAGGTTAAGTCTTAATATTTAACAAGTCTTTGACATCATTATATTCTCTCTATTGAAAACAGACAGGCTGCCAGAACATAGATGTGTTCGCTGAGCAGAGCAGGGCTTAGGCTAATGGCAATGAAAGCTAGAATACGTTCTCCTCTGCCATATGGAGCTAAAGTGGATTACAAGACAGAGGTATTTTGCACTGACTCTTACCCTTACCCTTTGGACCTGGAAGCAAACA